ACTATCTTTCAAATATGGCTGTTTTTTGGATAGAGACTAAGTTATAAATATGCCAGCATTTATGCTAGCTTTATAACATAGAGCAAAAGTCTTGACGCATGTGCCGACTGAAATTGACATGCACGCGTTGCTAATTTTATCCGCCGGTATTATCTTTTTATTATTTATCAGTGTATATGAAAGCACTGTAAACATACTGATCTTGGTAACTAAAACTATATGCACCGATTTCCTCCGAATGTACACATCTATCACAAGAGAATATTAGAAGAAAGTATATTATACAATTTATTAGAGAGTAATGTTTTTCGCGTGAAAAGCGGTTCATATATAATCCCCGTCATCGCTTGAAGTCGGTCAACGCGTAATTTCAAGTTTTTCTTCGCTTTCTTAGCAGTATATTTATATCGTAAAATCATTACAATCTTAACTTGTTGAATTCGGGGGAGGGGGGAGGGTAAAATCCCCCAAAGAAAAGTCAAGAAATGGGCCCAAATATTTTCGGGCAATATAGACCACAGCTCCTCCAATAGATATATGAATCCCGTACGCCTATGAGTGTACTACTATACATTTATATTGCTCTCATGTGCATAGAGAGACAAGGTACGAAATTAGAATCTATAAACAATCAACTTTAATACATGCATGGTTGGGTATACAAAAACGTTTTGATGTAAAAAACGAATTTCTTTCTTGTTGCTTTGAGCTATTAGGCTATATTAAAACCGACGAAACATGTAGTAAGCGCATATATTAAGTGAAAGTGAAACTTATTCTCAAACAAATAAATTAACAAAGACTGCATGTCGTAATCTCTCTGAAAGGGGGAAGCAGTAACTAAAGGGTGTATATATAGAGGCATCTAACGGCAAGTGATTTAACGATCACACGGAGGGGTTATTATAGAGACCTTACGATTTTAGGACGGCAACGCGACGACGACAGCCAAAACAAACTCCATCAATAAATAAATGGTAGTATTAAGCCCCCTATTTTTTGTATATTAGTTTCTCATCCGGAGCTTCTCCTAAAGTGGATGCGGGCTGGCGGACCAATACCATTATGCCATTATTTGCTGGATTTCCCCTCCCCATAAAATTTATTTTGGAAAAATGCGCATTAAGCATTTATATAGCAACTTTCTGGAAAACAGCACAAAATCAGTAAGTGCAACTGAAAGCATGTTTTCATAATTTTGTACCCAGAACGTCTGGCGTTTTTCTCCCCTGCCCCTGGCTTCCGGTAGAACTTTTATAGCTGAGTTTGGATATTTAATAAGTGTGTACGTAATGAGGGAAAAACTTGCAGTTTGGTTATGAAATTTTATATTTTAACTATAACATTTGGTTTGGGAACGTTTCTAATTGTCTTTCTTTCAAATTTCACTTTGAAGACATCACAAATTTATAATAATGGTGAAAAACGGCAATAATAATGGCGAACAAGGCCATTTTCTTAAAAAAAAGCATGCGGGCGGGGATGAGAAACTAATATACAGCAAATAGTGGCCTAAAGACAATTCGTGGTATATTAGCAATCGTATGAATTTAATACAATCGTATGAATTTAATGGGTTTTATGTTTGGCAAGAGTTCTGCTGAAGTCAGTTTGAAGTTGCACTTGTTGCGGCTTGAAATGCAGCCGTTGTATCAAGACGTGAAAATCTGTGATTTGGCGTTGTAAACAAAGCGAGGACAATGTCTAAATTATTCATATATTGCAATTATTGAATTCTTTTTAATTATTTATTGTATTTGTAGCCGTTGCTGTCCTAAATCGTAAGGTGTCTATTTAAAAATCGGGGAACCATGCAAGGAAAGCATGCATGGTTAAAAATTTTTCGAGTATGCGGACGTATATGCATGCACATGCATGCACATGGTTTACGCTACTCATACGTTTCTCTCATACGCAATAGTGTGACAGAACCTTAACCGAGATCAGCATGTAATTGCAGTTCTTAAAAAACATGAAAATATCAGTTAAACATGTATAAAATATTTGTTTCATATTATAGTGGCAAAATAAATCTGCACTATATCTATGATGAGAAGCCGAAAGTGCTCCTTCAAGGCATTCGTATAAATTGCCACACATATATCCTTTCCCGCACTTTTCTTATACATTTTTGTTTATATATATACCATGCATGCATGTAGTATTTAATGATACCTATAAACGTAAAATTTCAAGCATATATAATTGCTGGCATATTTATAACTTACTCTCTATCCAAAAAACAGCCATATTTGAAACAGTAAACAGTTTTGTATGTTTTTAACGCGAAAAATTTAAGTGAATGCATTAACAAATTATAGCTTCGAATTAGTCGAATTAGCGAAAATTGACTATATTCATGACGCGCTTGTCAAGCGAAAAACACACTGCCCAAAGATTTTATTATTTATTCTAGTAGATGTGTCATAATACACAGTAGCTGCAATAGATTGGATACCTGATACCGTTGCACTTTTGAGAAAAAATAATTTACCGCATGCAGCATACTAACACGAATATTTAATTAGCTGTCCGAAAGACGTTTTTTAAAAATACACAATATTTTGTTTGCTTCAAGTGATCAGAATAATTTTTAGTTTAGGTTTATGCCTAGGCAGGAAATAATAAAATATGTAAGTTTCAAGAAGTTAGAATAAAAGCGCGAGATGAACTGTGAGATATAAAAAAGCTCAAATATCACTTGCGTAATTTTTTCAAACGCGTCCGAAAATAATTGCGAAAAAATTTTTAAAACTGACTACAATTTCAAAGTCAACGTTTTTTGTTCATCTTATGAATGACTTCTTTCACACAGAAAATTTGAAGGAAATCTGTAATCTTAAGAAATTCGAGTGCTCAGTTTTTACACGGACTTTCTCTTAACTTGGAAGAATCACATCAGCTCAGTTCTCCAAAGCGTTGTGAAATCTACAGGTCTGATTGCAAAACTAAGACATTTTACGAATAGAAACACCTTAAAATTAATTTACTATGCATTAGTTTATCCATACCTCACGTACGGAAATCTAGTTTGGGGAAATACTTATCCCACAAGATTGCAAAAGGTAATGAATGTCCAAAAGAAAATTGTTCGATTGATTTGCTTCAAATCTTATACGGATCACTCCGAACCATTATTTTTAGACTTGAAAATTCTGAATATCTACAAAATTAATGACTATCTATGTAGTATATTCATGTATCGTTTTAATTATTGACAAAATTTACCAGACTTCTATAGTAATTACTTTAAGCGAAACAATGAATTTCACAGCTATAATACACGCAATTCTACCAAGTTACACGTTAGCTACAAAAGAACTAATTACCGCAAATATACTGTCTTCAACAAAGGCGTCTCTGTATGGAATAGTATTAATGAAGATATCAAAAATACTAATTCATATCTCTCTTTTAAGAAAAAAGCAAAATTATATCATTTAGTATCTCATGATTGATGTAAATATTGTAAATTACTCTGAACTATAATTATCTCTTTTGTCTTTTCACTATTATTTCTGTTTGTAAATAGTATATTGCTCTTTATTCATGGTTATTGAAAAATAGGGGCCTTACTTAAAAGTCCAACTGGATTTCCAAAGGTCCCTAGCCCTTTATATTATTATATTCTCATATGCTTTGTATGTACTATTTAAAACATGAGCAGCAGTGTTTTATCAGATATAAAGATACGAGGCGAAGCCGAGTATCTTTAGGTCTGATAAAACACGCACTGCGAATGTTTTAAATTGCTTCAAAAACGATCGATCTAGTAAGTTCATTGGCGAAGT